CAAAGAAAATCCCACCTGCATGATCAGAGTCTTACATGGAAAGCCATATGAGGAAAGGCTGAGGGATCAGGGACTCTTCTGTCTGAAGAAAAGATGGCTGAGAGGGAAACTGGTAGCAGCTTATCACTACGCTAGGGGAGTACATCAAGGGCTCGATGAACAACTGTTCACCAGGGCACCCAAGGGGAAAACTAGGAGTAATGGTCATAAACTCCTGGATTCAGGCTCAACGTTAGGAAAAACTTCTTCACAGTCAGGGTCTCCAGACGATGGAATAAGCTCCCTCCAGAGGTGGTGCAATCACCTACCCTGGAAATCTTCAAGAGGAAACTAGACAGTCACCTTGCTGGGGTCATCTGGCCCTCAGTTCTCTTCTCCACTTGGTTCAGGGGGCAGGACCCAATAGTCTTCCAAAGTCCCTTCTGGCCTTACAATCTATGAATTAATGACACAAAATCAAGAGAATACTCCATAAAACAATTGGCAAGTTTACAAAAATATACACAATAGAGGACAGACTGTTGAAGAAATAATAGCACATAGACATTTGGTAAAATCCCAGCAAGACATCTATAATCTGTGCCCAAGATAGTGTTATCTGTATTGCTTCCTTTCAGAAACTGATTGAACCTTTTTCTATTAGCATGCATCATGCAACCGACACCTGACATTTGTTTTTGAAATCTGTGATATTTGAATGCTCTCTCTAGCCACAAGGACTAATGCCCTGGATCTGGAAGTCTGGATGAAACTAGAAAAAGAGTCACAGCAGGTATGTCTACCTGTGCTATTAATGTGATTGAATAATTTCTGATGCAGTTTACACCAGAGTTTATTGCTCCCTGGCACCATGTTTACACTTGTGCCTGTGACCACAGCATGTTGTGCCAGGTCAGAGCAGCCCTAGCTGGCAGGGAGTCATGGGGTTCAGCCTGTCAGCCTGGAACTGCTTCAACCCAGCTCAACATGATGTGGAGGGTCTGGGTAGGGCAAGCACCTCTGTGCTCCAGCCATCCTCACCAGTGTCTACATGTGTATTGTGGTGCTCTAAATAACATTGCTGCAGAATACTAATTGTGTTTACAAGTACTAACCTATGGCTGCATTTATTAGTTTACTGTGGCCTTATAGGGCTGCATATGTAGACATTGGGCACATCTGTATGAGATGCTATGTCACTGTAGCGACAAGCTACATCACTGTAGTTCATTGCTGCAGAAATGCAACATCTCCAGGAATGGATCATGACGCTGATGCTACTGCACAGTAGCTGTTAAAAAAAGCTGTACAGAGTTGAGACTGCAGTAATGCCAGTTACTGTGCAGTAGGGCTGTGCAAAATTTCACCGGCTGTTTCAATTTGACACTGTTTTGACTCATTTTGAGCTTCAAACAGTGAAATCAAATCAAAATGAAGGGCTTTGAAACAACCTTGAAACAAAACAAGGCTAGTAAAAATGCTTGAAGTTTCTAAGCAGCCAGCAGCCAGGTGGTGGGAGACACGGGAGAAGCAAGGCTGCGCTCCCAGCAGCTCTGCAGCTCCATGTGGCTCAGCTGAGAGTGCAGCCCTGGCTCTCCCCACCTCCTGCAGCTGGGCTGCAGGAAGCCAATCACAGGGCAGGGGAAGGGAACTGAGCCCAGGATCAGTTCCCCTCCTCAGTGCTGCGATCGGGCTGGGGAAGGGAACTGAACCTGATTGCTCAGTTCCCCTCCCCAGGCCTACAATCAGGATGGGGAAAGGAACTCAGCCCAGCTGAGCTGAATTCCCTCCCCAGTGCTAGATCAGGTTGGGGAAAGGAACTGTGCCGATCCCCAGTTCCCTTCCTCAGCTCCCTGGTCCCAGGTGGCAGCACCTGGATTCCCTCCCTCATCTGACAGGCAGATCAGGGGCCCACAGCCCTGGAAGCAGTAGCACAGCCCCCACAGCACTCCTGGGGTTGTGGGCCCCCACATGCTTGCAGGATGAGAGAGGTTGTTTTGAGCTTCCCTATTATAGCGAATGGGCAAAATGTCAAAGCAGCATCACAATAGTGTCACTGTTCTGACAAAGCAAAACAGAACAGTGGTTTTGAATTGAAATGAAATTCCAGATGAAAGTCAAAAACTCAGAACTCAAGTCATAACAGAACAGTGCCATTTCTCACACCCCGACTTCCCAGTCATATAGTACTGCTTAAGCAAGTATTAAATAACTGTGCAGTAACAACTATGCAGTCCACTGCACATGTAGACACATCCACTGAGAATTTACTGTGGAGCTAATTAGGTGACTCCACAGTAAATGTCTTATGTAGATGTGCCCAGTTACCCCTATAATCACATATAAAACTTAATATTTTCTTTCTTTTTTTCTTTCAATATGAACTACTGTAGCACAGCGGAACAAAAACTTGGTCTCTTCCCCCAAAATACAACTGAAAGCTAAGTGAGGGTAAGAGAAGAAAAATGGATATGGACAGACAGACAAAAAACAGGGATACATTTATTTTAAGGAAGCCCATTATTCTCTTGTAGCTGAGGAACCTGATAGGCAGGCCAATAACACTTTCATGTTAATTTTGTATGAAGTTAGTCCCTTGACAGGAAGCAACTTACAGTGTAAACAGAGACTGTAGATTTTATCCCTTTACCTGGATTCATCCATATGGGTTTATTGAAAATCCATATGGGTTTATCACTTTTTTTATGTCCTTTGATCTTTTCAGCTACCTTTGTACCTCTCAGCAATGTCCCCTCTCCTTTCCTCCCTCCTTCCCTATCATTTTTATTTAATTACTGCTTTCAGTTTGGAACCCCTGCTCAATGCAAGTCCATTCATAGCATCTGATGAAGTAAGCTGTTGCTTACAAAAGCTTAAACCCCTCAAATTGGTTAGTCTATAAGGTACCACTCTGCTTGACTTCAGACAAATACTGCTAACTGCTTTTCTATAAACAAAAGAATTGATCATGTTTGAGAAATTACAAGAACTGAGAATATGTAAAGTCTCTTGAACCAATAAATCTTGTGAAATGACAAGGGTCAGGTGAAATAGTTGTTCCGTTGCTAGGAAACAATAAATATCAACTGCCATAGCATTTCTGTTAATTTTAAACAATAAATGGGATGACTCAGCAAATGATGAAGAAAGCTGGCTTTCAAAGGCAGGATGAAACATTAGTTTTATACATTGACAAGCCAATTGGAAGTGAAAGACTTCAAGGTAAATTGAACAAAAGGTATTGAATGGCTGCAAAAACATCTAACTGCTTGGTCAGATTAAAGGATTCCAGAATACAATCACAAAAATGGTATCTGTGTTTGAATGGGAGCTTCTTTGTTCTAATTTAGGAATACTGCATATTGACCAAGGTAATGAGATTTTTAGTGTATGAATAGAATCATAGAATCATAGAAAATTAGGGTCCAAACCCCTGCTCAAAGCAGGACCAGCCCCAACTAAATCATCCTAGCCAAAGCTTTGTCTAGCCAGGTCTTAAAAACCTCCAAGGATGGAGATTGCACAACCTCTCATGGTAATCTGTTCCAGTGTTTTACTATTCTCCTGGTGAGAAAATACTTCCTAATATCTAA